AGAATGTAGACAAATAAAAAATAAAAATTAATTGAAAAAGATATTTCACAGCTTATTTAACAAACACTACTCAGCAACTTAAATCTATAATCCAACAGCTACACTAAACAGATTAATAACTTTTGATTAAAGTCATAATTTATAATCTGTTAAGTTATAATGTATAAGCTGTTTTAACAACTATACCAAACGGGGCTAAAAATAAACAGGCAAATGCTAGAATACTGGCCTCTAGAGTAACGTCAGAAACAAAAATAAAAAATAAAAAAAATGATAAAGATTTATGCTCATTCTAGTGCATCAAACATGTTCCAAGAAAAAGTGAAAGACAAAAATATCAATATAAGAATGGAAAATGATTGGTGGCCCTAAAAAATTTGCCCCTAATACCCCTAATTTCTATTTTTGGAAACTGTTTCTTTTTTTCTTTCTTTTTTCCTTTTTTTTTTTTTTTTTTTTTTATTTTTTTTTTTTTTTATACCTAAAATGGAAATTTCGGGGCATTCGAGCCCCGAAATTCGGGCCCTCAAGCAGCGCCGATATAAGAATAAACAATGTAATACCAAATAAACAATTTATTATATAAATTAATAAAGTATACATATTTTTCGCTCACTAATGTGAGCTGCAACAATGAAATTTTGATATTTAAACAATAATCTATTACAATAATATAATTTCATTAATTTGTAAACAAAATATTAATCTACCAAAAAATGTATTCGTGTATTGACTTTTCAAATTCCAAGGCATTTAATTTTGAAATTATTTTAAAATCTCTTTCATTCTCCTAGTCCTTCAAAAACATTATAGAAACAAGAATAATGGTATATACACTAATTAGTGTACATATTAATATAGATGATGTGACATAATTTTAGAAATTTTAAATATTTATAATTTGTATAATAAACAAGATTATTAATGATATAATAACATTAATTGGTATACTAGTGTGTAGATTAATTGACACATATAACACCACCGTAAAAACAAACATTATAAAAGATATCTTCATTAAGGTCGATGCGAATGGGATTGGTTATAATCTAATGTTTTGTAGTACTTAAATTTGTGTAATTTCTCAAATTACTTACGAGAAATAATAAAAAATATTACAAAATCTAATTTGTAACAAAAAAAAAATACTAAATATTTTATTTTTTTAATTTAAACTTAAATATTTTGATTTGTTTTTAATATAAACTATAAAATTATTTTTGTTAAGTAAAACCGACCGAAAAATGATATTTTAATCATTAAAATCAATGTAGGTTCACATGAAATATGTAAAATAGATTTTTTTATTGAGTTTAATGACTAAAATAGATAGATAATTTAAATTGAAAATAAATAAAAAAAAGTTTAAAATTTAAATTAATAAAAATAAAAATTTATGATTTATTTTATTATAATGGTCAAAATCTTTTTTTTTTTAAAAATAATTTTTCTGATAATTTATTGGATTATTATTATTTAACAAACTAATTATCGTGTGAAATGTAGAAAGACAGTTGGGGAGTTATGGGCCAGTTCTATGGATCGATCTTATTACCCAGCAAGTCCTATCTAAAAAAATCAAACAGTGTTTTTCATTTTTACCCCTAAACACATTCACACACTTACTAATTCACAATAATTTAACAGTGATAAATTTATCACTGTTAAAATATTGTTAGTGATAAATTTCATACTCACATACATTCATACACACTCACTAATTCACAAAAACAAATTTATAAAAATTCAGCAGTGACAAATTTATCACTGATTTAAACAAATTTATCACTGTTAAAATGTTATTCCTGAATCTTGGTCCATCCTTTTCTTTTACCTCTTCACCACCACCACCACCACCACCACCACCACCACCACCATCACCATCACCATCACTATCACTATCACCATTACCATTCAAACCTTTTTCAAATCTTTTCATATCTCCTTCAAGCAAATCAACATTATAAGCAGCCTTATTGTTAACAACCAATTCCAACTCCATATTCTCCTTCAATTTTTTCAGCATCCTTTGATTCACTATAACTCGAACGAAGCATCGACTTCATCAAATCGAACTCTAGCTCCAATTTTTCACCGTAAATCACTTTTTTCGATGTTGAAATTGCACCGTCTGCCGATTCCGATTCTGATTCCGACGAAGAACTCGACTGATTGATGATACCAATTCAATTTCTTCGAATGTGTTGATTTTCCAATCGCTGCAACCTCTTCTTACTAACGTCGATTCTCTTCACCTTCTTACAAGAAGATTCACCTTCATCTTCTAGAAAGCTTTTTTTTTTTTTTTTCTCTCTCTCTCTAGATCTGAGTATAAAAATATGAGGACAAAAATAAAATAAATAAAAATATTTAGAACTTATAAATAAAAAATTTTTCATTAAAGACAATAGAAATTTAAAAAAAAAGAGTCAAAAAAATCAAAAAATTAATTTTTAACTAATTTTTCAAAACAAGCGTATGTGTTATTAAACCTTCTTTTTGACAAGAGTAAGAGAACTTCATTTCATTCCATGAGCAATCATACAAAGGAGAAAACTGAAAACTTTTATAATCTGACACACATATAAAGATATAATCATTATGCACCAAACTCCTTATTTTCGTATTCTACTTTTACACACTAGATATTATTTTCAATATATATATAAATGCTTATCTTTATTGTTAATTAGCTAAGCTTAAGAACACCCTCCAGTGCCAAGCCCTAGCTTCCCTCCTGCAACATCATACGCCACCTCTAATGTCTTCTGCTGATTATTCCCGAAAACACCAACATCCGAAGCATTACTATTCCCTGCAAATGCCAAGCACACCTGCGATATACTATGACCGAAAAGTATCCCCGTCGGATAGATCGGAACCTCCACATTGCCTTGGAAATAAAAGCTTATCTTCGGTATTAACACCGTCTTGTTGTTGCTCAGATCATAGCATGTGTCAAGCAGCGGCAAACCTTTAGTCATCGGATAATTCGTCATCTTTCTTCGAAAAGCTGTCCTCAAAGCACTGTAAATCGCCGGCGGTAGGCGGGTGATGACGGTGCCGGAGTCTATGATCGATGTTGTGTTCTTGAACACTGATTTTGCGATGGATAGTTTCCGTCCACCGACTTTGATCCCCGTTATATGGACGAAGTAGAAGGATGGATTCTTTGAGTTTCTGGAAAATGGGGTGAAATTTAACTTTAAGGCACTAGAGGGTCCTCCTTTTCCGAATGTTAGGTGTCCGGTTGAGCTCGACGCTGATGGAAGGCAATAAGAGAAGTATTTTTGGTACATTGAAGAAGTTTGCGAGACAACGGACAATTGATTTCGCCCGAGTCCTAATAATCCCGCGGCGCCACCGAATAGGCCGTGGTTGCTCTGGCCGCAGCCGAATTGGAAATTAGGCAACACATCCGTGGGAGTCAATGTCAAAGTGTCTTTGCTGAAGAACCCGATGGAGTAGGACTGGTCGGCGTACCCTATGCCATAGATGCAGATGGAGGAGTTGGAGCAACGCTTCATTACACCGCCGGCATCGGAGGTGAGTTGAGTACACTCGGCCGAGTTACAACTGATGTTTTTGTAGGCTGTGGACTCATTTGGGTTGAAAATTGGTTCTTGTTGTTGATAGTAGGAGCTAATACATGGCTAGCACTAAGTCCAGGTGAGGTTGCTGCCCGTGTCGAAGACGAGGGTGAGGTCCTTTTTGGGGGTTCCGAGTCCGACGGTGACGATGAAGTTACCGGTGCCGATTGAGGCGCCGGAGTTTACTGGGAGAGTGGCCTTGGAGGAGTTCAGTATATTGTTTTGGGCTGAGTCGGAGCTGAGTCGAAAGTGAATTAAGTTGACTCGGGATTGGTCTTCAGAGAGGATCTGAGTCACATTTGGAACATTGGCTTTGTCTAGACTCAGGTGCGAGCATGGGCCGTGCTTGTGAACTACTTTCAGTGTTGCCTTTTTGCTGTGACCTGTTAAAATGTATAAGCATATGATTGTTTAGATGTAGGTATCATCAACAATTTGTAAAATTTTATCTAATATATGTATATATTGTTTTTCATTTTGTAATGTGCTTTTGGGTTCGTAATAGAACTAATAAAATTCTATATAAATATGACGGCAAAATGACATATTTTGTAATTATGAATTATAGGAATAAATATAAATAAAATATTTCATTTTATAAGAAGTTTTTATTTTTTTATTTTTTTATATTTTGTATAATATTATACTTGTTTGATAGAAGAAGAGGTTGACCACTGATATAGGAATTAGCGGTGGGTTGGGCTTGTATTACTGGGCTTTTATTATTTATTTATTTGTTTGTTTTTGAACGCGGGCTCGTACTACTTAACAACCACATTTTTTCATAAAATGAAAAATTCACATTTCATTTTTAAACTCTCACGCTCTTATTGTAAGAGCATCTCCAACCCACTAGGTATATCATGCTTGTTAGTCAAAATGCCTAGTATAACTCATTTTTTCAACTCCAATGCACTAGGCATATGGAGTATTTTGAAAAGTGAGCAAGGGGTGCCGCATCAACGCCTGGGTGCGGTGAAAAATGGGCAAAGGTTTCCGCGTTTGTCTGGACGAGCGTGGATAAAGAAGCTAGTCCAAGACTATAGGTGTAGGATAGCCACATGGAATATAGGAACTCTAACTGATAAGACTATGTAATTGGTAAATGTCATAATTATGAGGAGAGTTAGTATAGCTTGCGTACAAGAAACTAAGTGGACGGGTGAGAAAACTCGAGAAATAGACGATACCGGTTTTAAACTATATTATAGTGGCAAGGATAGACATAGAAATGGAGTAGGAATAATAATTGCCATGGGTCTTGTAGAAAATGTAGTTGCGATCATTACGAAAGGTGATATGATTATGTTAGTTAAACTAATTATTGGTGAGAATATAGTGAATATTATTGGTGCATACGGCCCCCAAATAGATTTAGATTATTAAACTAAGAGAGATTTTTTAGATCAAATGGATGAGGTATTACAGGAGATACCCGTAGGAGAGAACCTAGTTATAGGTGGTGATTTCAATGGCCATGTAGGAGTAGATAAGAAGAAGGTGCATGGTGGGTATGATTTTGGTGATAGAAATAAGGATGCAGAGAGTATTTTAGATTTTATATTGACTTTTGACCTTGTGGTGGCCAATACTATGTATAAGAAGAGAGATGAGCATTTGGTAACCTTCAATAGTGGGTCAATTAGGAGCCAAATAGATTACTTTATAGTAAGAAAAGGAGACCGTCTAAAACGCAACAACTGCAAGGTGATTCCTAGAGGGAGCTTGACGTCTCAACATAGGATTTTGATACTATATTTATGCTTTAAAAACAATACCAAACTCGAAAAGATAGTGGGTGCCGCAGGACTAGATAGTGAGACATAAAAGATGATAAAACTAGACAAATTTAAGAATAGAATGGATAAAGAAGGTACTTCCGACTTGGAAGATGATGTAAACACTATATGGAACTCGATGACCAATTGTACTAGGGGATTCTCAAGGGAAGTTTTTGGAGAGTCGAAACGAAATAGACCCAATTTTAGGAAAACTTGGTGGTGGAGGAAAGAGGTCCAAGCTATAATAAAGACGAAAAAAATAGAGCTTTAAAAAGTAGCAGAATGATAGAACTGAGGAAAACCTTACGCACTACAGATTAACCAATAAGGAGGTCAAAAAAGTAGTGAAGGAGACTAAGTTGAAGGCCTATGATGACCTATACACTAGACTAGATAGTAAAGAAGGAGAGAAGAGAATATACAAACTTGCTAAAATAAGAGAGAGGAAAATAAGAGATTTTAATCAAGTTAAGTGCATCAAGGGTGAGGACTCTAAGGTATTGGTGAAAGATGAAAAAATTAAAGAGATGTGGAAAAACTATTTTGAGAAATTATTAAATGAGGAACATGAAGGTAGATCAAAAGGGGAGGAAGTAGGCAGTAATAAGGAAAACCAGGACTATAGGTTCTATCGTAAGATTATGGAATTTGAAGTAGAGTTTGCATTTAAGAAGATGAAATTTAATAAGACTTTAGGATTCGATGATATACATATTGAAGTATGGAAATGTTTAGGTAATAAGGGGGTTGTTTGGTTGATAAGGCTATTTAGTAAGATTTTGTTGACGAAGAAAATGCCAAAAGAGTGGAAAAAGAGTATTTTATTGTTAGGGTAAATTATAAATACACCCCCTGAAGTTTGATTAAAATACAAATCGCCCCCCGTAGTTTTGAAAATTACATTCTACCATCTGAGGTTTCTAATTTAATAATAAACCGCTCCTTTTATTAATAAATCATCCAGTCAATTAACAGTTTTTAATGATGTTAGAAATATGTTTCAATTAATAATTTAGGTAATTTTATTATTGTATAGGAGAACAATTATGAATTTCATTTTTTAGTAATTCTGTTAAATAAAAATTTTAATAATGGAGTATTTATAATTTTTCAAACTATAGGGGCAATATGTATTTTAAGCAAACCTCAAGGAGTGTATTTGTAATTTACCCTTATTGTTAATATATAAGAATAAAGGAGATGTCCAGAATTGTAACAACTATATATAAAAGAACCAAGTTAATGTGTCATACAATGAAAGTGTGAGAGAGAGTGATGGAACGTCAATTGCGAGATATAACAGAGGTGTCAAAGAATCAATTTGGGTTTATGCTTGGTAGGTCAACAATAGAACGATCTATCTTTTGAGGAGGGTAATAGAAAAGTATAGAAAAAAGAAAAAAGACATGCATATGATTTTTATCGATTTTGAGAAAACATATGATGGAGTGCATCGGGATATAATGTGGTGGGTGTTAGAGAAGAAATGGGTGACAAAAGGTTACATTGATGCGATTAGGGATATGTATGAAGGTGTGGTGACCATTATTAGATCGTCTGTTGGGGAGACGAGTGAATTTCTAATTTTTGTACGGTTATACCGCGAATCAACCTTAAGTCCTTATCTTTTCGCTTTAGTTATGGATGAGTTGATGCACAATATTCGAAATGATGTGCCATGGTATATGCTTTTTGTAGATGATATTGTGTTAGTAGATGAGACTAGAGAATGAGTTAATACTAAGTTCGAGATTTGGAGAAAAACACTTGAATCTAAAGGATTTAGGATAAGCAGAACTAAGACAGAGCATATGGAGTGCAATTTTAGTAACAGTCACAATAGAAGCAGAGGAGAAGTGAAGATTGAGAAACAAGAGCTACCTGAGAGTGAACATTTTCGTTATTTAGGATCGATTCTCACAACCATTGGGGAGATTTGAGTGGATGTGGCCTATAGAATTAAGGTGAAGCGGCTTAAGTGGAAGAGTGCGTTTGTAGCACTGTGTAATAAACAAGTACCCATTAGACAACAAGGGAAGTTCTATAGAACAGCTATTAGACTAGTAATGTTGTATGAGACGGATTATTGGGCAACTAAGAAACAACATGTAGATATGATGAGTGTTATTGAGATGAGAATGCTATGGTGGATGTGTGGCAAGACTAAAAAAGACAAATTTAAGAATGAGTATATTCGAGAATAGGTAGCAGTTGTATTGACAGAAGATAAGTTGAGAGAGAATAGATTGAGATGGTTTGATCATATACAACAGAGACCAACAGAGGCAGTTGTGAAGAGATGCGATACAGTGACGGTAGATGGTAATGTTAGGAGAAGAGGTAGACCTAGATTGGCATGGACTAGTATAGCAAATAGAGATATGAATCTCCTTAATTTGACTAACAAAATGATCTTGAATAAAGTCGAGTGGAAAAGAAGGATTTATGCAGCTGACCCCATTTGATAGGACTTAAGGTTTGGTTTCATTTGGTAAGCATATCACTTAGACAATGATATCATTTTGTGTAAATTTATAATGCACATGTTTTCATATAGGGGAATTTGGTCAAAACCCCCTTATAATAAAATTTTAATGCATTAAGGACAAATACAAAATGTTTTTTTTGAAAAGTCCAGCAAATATCACTATTATCAAAATATTAAATTTTAAAATAATATAATTTTTGGTGTAGATGTCGGTTTGTAATAAAATTAATATTTTTAGAATACTTCCATCAAGATCTATCAAATAAGATCCATGTTGACTATGATTTTTTTTTTTAAATTTTTTTATTACCATTGAAATTGATGTTAACAGTAACAGTAATAGCAACATGTTATTCTGTTTGATAGTAACATGTTAATCTGCCAATATTGTCCAAGAAAGGGGAAAAAAAAGAGGATATTTTACTTTGTCGTTACTCAATTATGTATTTTCTCCCTAGGGGATTTATGAAGAAAAATAAATTGAATTGTCTTTTTCGCCAAATAAGGGTCTAATGGAGGAGTTTTGACTAAATTTATTTATTTATTTTTTGGGTCTAGCAATTTATGTGTGAATTATGTTCCATGCTCTCTGTTTGTTTGTTTATTTATTTGTTTTTCTACTTTCCATCCTCTAGCAAAAGAATATCACACCGTTATAACTAATTTTTCTAAGCCCAAGTTTTAGGGTATGATTTAAAACATTCGATTTAACATGATCTTGGAGAGGGAGCATCTCTATTAATTATAGTCAAAATTGTATTGCCAAAGTTAAATTTTGGCTTGACTGGCGTCAAAATGATAATATTAAAAGTAAATTTTGAAATGCTACAGTATTGTGGGGACATAAATTTTGAATGACGACACGTGGCCGAGGTGTCACTGAAGTGCCAGCCAGGGTGCCACATGTCCTAGTCATGACGCCGAGATGATCTCGGCGAGGCCGAGGTTACCTGTGAAAATACTGAAATTCGGGATAAGCGGATAAGGGACAAGAGTTCTAGAATGGGAGAGGACTTCAGTTTGGGTAAAGATAAGACACTTAGAGAGTGTATCCTAATCCTACTGGGAGTCCAAGATTAGCAGTAATCCTAAGTCCATTGAAATTAGGCTTCTATTGGGACTAGGTTTGTGTTGGCTATAAAAGGGAGGCACCCTTATGGGTCAAAGGTATGCTTTTTATGTTCTGAATAGTGAGTTAAGCACTTTTGCTATCTTTGAGAGATAACTGACTTGATCGTCGGAGTGCCCCCGGGTGGACGAACCACCACTAGAATCTCTTTTTTTTTGTGACAGGTCGTTTGGGCTTAATCTATTCTGCCAGTGTTCTCCAGCTGAGTGCCTGATTAGCCGTGTGGTCGGAAATTGACACACACAATTTGGCGCCGTCTGTGGAAAAGAAAGAAGAATAGATGGCCAACGACGGACAGAAAGCGAAGGTTGGGGACGACACTCCTACTGAGAGTGGGAAACATATTGACCTTGACGTCGAAGAAGACAACTGTAAAAGAGACTCGTGATAAGAATCACGGAAAAAAAGACGTCGGTCAGGAGGGCGACGTTCCGAAGAAATCAGACCGAAGCGAGTATTATAACGAGGACGATCTCCAGGTATGGAAAGATAGGCTTATGAAGGGACGACAAGATGAGGGGAATGACGAACAAATTGGTGGACCTGCAAACGGTTGTCAATTTCATGATGCAGGACAACGTCATGCAGCCACCGTTCCCGTTACAAGATACGCCGATTTCAGCAGCCAAGAAAGGTGCCCAGAAAGGAGGGCAAAGAACGGTCCCTGTAGTCCCTCATCATGACGGGACCAAGGGACACTCTCACAGGCCTTCACGGGAGGTTGGGCATGGAGACTCAAGGAAAGGAGAATCCCAGAACACACGTCGAACCAAAGAAACCTGCACCAAAGAACATCGGGATGTTCAGGGGAAGGAACTCTGTTTTGACATGACCAATGGAGAGGGGTGCAAAAGAACTCACAATGACACTAGAAGCAGTGCACCAAAGCGGCTGAAATCCGGAGATAGCCGAGCTCCTGGATGAACCAAGGAGGATCTGAGGGATAACCTCCAGAAAAAGAGACAAGATACTGAGGTGACCTCCCTGGCCAAGCCGAGGACATCGTTCTCGGTAGAGTTGGACAAATTTGAGGCCCCAAAAAGGTTCCATATGCCAAAATTCCAGATATACAATGGTAAGTCAGACTCGAACTTTCACGTCGGCTTGTACCTAAACTCGATGGCATTATATACCGGGAACGAACTGTTGCTCTGCAAGGTGTTCCCATCATCCTTTGGGGAAATTGTATCAAACTGGTTTCACAAGTTGCCGAAAGGAATTGTGAAAACCTGGGAATGCCTGGCCGAGATGTTTGTGGCCAGGTTTGTGACGAACAAACTACAGCCGTTGAGGGTGGACTCTCTGATGGCTCTGAGAATCGGTGAGGATGAAAGCCTTAGGGCCTACGCCAAAAGGTATTATGAGGTGTTTAACCGAATACCCGAGTGCAACCAAGAGGTGGCGGTTGTATCTTTCAAGAACGGCTTGA